ACAATTGCCAATCATGACGGAATTGATGGTCGGTCCAGCTGCGTGACCGCCAGTAAGTCACGTAGTCGCGCGGTGCCCGGTGGCGAGCGACGCCGTCGATCTGTTCGCTGTTCGCCAACTTCCATGAATCGAGGCGGGCCTTCGGGCTCATCTGAGCCTTCATGGCCCCGGCGCAGGTTGCCCCGCGTCGTGCCCTTCTTGGCGGTCCACTCGGATTTCGTTGGAGCGGGCGCTGTTCGCCGCTTGAGCGGGCCCCCAATTGCCTGCGAGTATGACTTCGCCGATGACGGCATGGCGGCTTACTCTCAGAGTCCCGTTCCTCACCACCATCGCCAGTCCGCCCCGCGCAACTCCAAGCCACGCGGCTCGATGGGCGGTCGCGCAATGCAGAGGTAGAGCAAGGGCCTTCATTATGACCGAGATCGCATTTGACCCGGTCTGAAAGGTCACCGACGTCGCGCGGGCGACCCCGCAATAGATCACCATCGCAAGTTACCCTGCACGTAAGATTCCCAACCGCTTGCGGTCGGAGCGCCAAGTGTAGCTCTTCTTCCGAGGCCGGTGTCGCATCGCCATCAGAACTATCCGGCTCGCATCCGTCGGAATGAGCAGGCGCCCCCGCCATCTCGCAGCCCTGGTTGGCGGCTGATGGGCGCGCCTCGATGATGTCCTCGCAAGCAGGTTGCCCCGCGATCGGGGTGCCCAGACAATCTGCGACATGAATCTCGTCGCGGCCAACGAACGCCTCCTCGTAGAGCTCCTCGGCGCACCCCTCGAGGGACAGGCCAGCGCCCGCGCGTCTCGCAGACGTGAAATGGACAGCGGCAGCGGGTTTATCTACTGATTCGGCAAAAAGGGTTTCGAAACCGACATACTGAATGTCGCAATTGTTTTGAGCCAGATGCATCGACGGACCCCCCTGCCTCTCCCATCGCCCCGGGGGCGCTCGCGACGAAAATGCTGGGTGCTATGGCAGATGTCACATTCCATGGTTTCCCCGTTAGCATCCTTCAGGTTACCCAGGCGTCCGTTGCATTTTCCTGAGGCATGTCTTAAGATTCCTTCATGCTGTGGCCCCGCAAGGGGGGCCGGGAATGTTGGCATGCCGCTGGCATGCCACCGTCGTCGCTTACCTTTGCCTCTACCGCTGGCCTTTGACGTCGGACCGCGCGTCGCATCCTTCGTGGCACCATCGGCGCCTATGTTTCTGATGGCCCAAGAATGCCCATTGCGCCTGTTGCTCCGCGGCGAGGTGCGCAGGCACATCAAAAAGGTCTAGGTTTTCGATGCCTTCATCTGACGAGGAGTCGGCATCGGTGCCGGAGTCAAAGTCGGACTCTGCGGGGTGTCCCGCCGAGCCCAAAGGCAGTGGCTTGGGAAGGGGCCGCCGTTGCCGACGGCCCCTCATATTGAGCCCAGGGGCTGGCCACCTTGTTGCCTTAATAGAATGGTGGCCTCGTCTGGCTGTGGATCGTCATTCCACATGGCGCTGGCAAGTCGCGCCGCATTAGAGCCACTATGAGATGCATCGGTTCGGTGGCCGCGGTTAAACACACCACCAATGTTACCAGGGGGTCGCTCAGCGATGTGCACGTAAGCCCTCGTGCGCTCCAGTAAGGAATCGGATTGTTGCTGAGTCCTTGGCATGTGGTGGTTCAGTGGATGTAGTAGTTGTTGTGTACGCGAGGCACCGACACCTAGGGCCCTGAACAGTATGACTGTCAGGATTTGGAAATGTGGGACGTTGAACCCCGCAGTGTCAGCTTCAAAGCTTGCTATCTCGAAACGCGCCAACGTCTGGTCGATCCGTCCTCCCGCATTGACGCGAAAATCAATGAGAGCCGTCCCGGAGTTCAGTTGTCTATCATCTTCTATATTCTCGAAATTAATGCTGAGGAGGAGCATTGTATAGGTGACCCCATCGGTGCGGCGTCCGCCAATAATGTCCACTCCCAAGTTGATTACTGCTGGGGGGACTATCATGGCAGTGGTCCTTGCGAGACCTCCAATGCCACGCTGTAGGGCAGCGGCCTGTTGGGAGGCAGTCATGGTTCCTGTGGTCATTTTGATCCAAGCATGTACCTCGCGAGCGAATTAGCAGAAAGGTACGTTACCGGCAGGGTCCCATTGGGGGCCGGTCGCGCGCGTGTCGTCTGCACCGCGCGCATGTGTCTAACAGCACATCCGATGGCGACCCAGAGAAGGCCAAGGATAGTGATGCCAATCCAGTGGCCTCGTAGGTCGGTGTCGGTTGTGGGTGGCTGTTGTTCATGAGGTGACGTCACCGTCAGTTTGCGAAGACGTGCAGGCGACACGATGTCATAACGCACGTTGCCACGCATATCTTTTTCTAAGAACTTGCCAATTGGCGTTGGTGTGTGGGCTTCAGGAATGTAGTAGTGCAGGGATGTAGGGCTCAGGCAAGAGACCTCTGCGTGAACAGTGGTTTCAATGCAAGAGCTCTTGCGATGGCCATGGTCTCCTCCGCGTAGAACCACTGCGCCCTGATGGTCCACCATATCAATAGTCCACCAGACAGCGCCGTTGATAGCAAGGAGTAAAGCTCGAGCTGGCGCTGGCAACCAAAGACCAGCTCCGCCAACAAGTTTAAATAGACGTGGGAGGCCCAACCAGCTACTACGCCTTAGGCGCTTACGTCCAACCCTGCTGTATCGCATTAGCGATAGAGCAAGAGGTAGGAGATGGCCGCGCGAGCGGCAAAGGGACATCCCAAAGGATTGTTTTCCGTATCGATGTCAGAAAGCGGGCCGCGGGGCGACCCAGTCAAATTGGCGGCCGGTCGCTTGAGCCCAAGACGCCGCGGACAAACGCTCGAAACCTCTCGCCTCTGCCCTTCCTCCTTCGGAATGCCGCCCCATTTTGGCACACCCCTCACACGGCCCATGGCCCCATAGGGAGCTCCACCGAAGGCCCCAGCGCGAGCGCCCGCATGGCACAGCCGCCTCACCCTGCACAACCCTTACACATATCGTGGCCCCGTGAGGAGTTCCACCGAAAGCCCCGGCGGGAGCGTCCGCATGACACCGCCGTCCCAGTTTGGCACGCCCCTCACACGGTTCGTGGCCCCATAGGGAACTCCGCCGAAGGCCCCAGCGGAAGCGTTCGCATGGCACCGCCGCCCCACTTCGGCAAACCCCTTACACATACCGTGGCTCCCACAAGGAGCTCCACCGAAGGCCCCAGCGGGAGCGTCCGCAAGGCACCGCTGCCCCATTTTGGAACATCCCTCACACGGTTCGTGGCCCGAGAGGGAGCTCATCCGAAGGCCCCAGCGGGAGCGTCCGCATGGCATGGGCCGCGCACGGGGCTCGGGCGAAACCAAGAAGACTCCCCACTCGCTCGCGTCAGCTTTTCTCCCCTACATGCACGCCACAATCCTTTTTGCTGCCCCCCCTCCTTCGTCTCCTCTCCCTCGCGGTACTCGCAGCAGCATATGGTTGGGTCCTTCGTCAGGCTACGCAATGTTAAGGGGCCTGTGAAGAGAGAGAGCTTGGAGGGAGAGTGTATTCCAACATCCTTGATGAATCTTGGATTTGCACTGGTCCTCCTCCAACTCCTCCTATGTACCTGTCCTCCCTCTCCTCCGCTTCTTTCTCCCCCCTATTCCCCAGAAGGGTTTCCACAACTGCTGGTGGAACACATGTTCCGATAGCTTGGCAGAGCTCTGGCCACGACTTTCGGCCACATGGGCGATTCCAAAAGGCAGGGGGCGGTGATGATTCGCCGTAAGCGTCTTCGATAAACACATCCGCCGACCCTGTCGGCGTGTGGAATGCGTTGTTCGTCGTAGTCGTTGTCCTCGTACGTGTTCGTCGTCTTCTTTTCTGGGTCCGTCGCCGCTCCCCACCTCTTTCCCTGGGCTCTTGTCCTCAAGCGCGCCAGCCAAAGGGAAATGAAGCAACCCAGCAAAAGCGAAATTAACAGCGTTGTCATTGAGTCGAGAAGAAACCCCTTCCCTTCGATCCCTTCCCCGCCGGGGGGGGGGAGGTCCCGGGGGGGGGTCCCGGGGGGTTCCTGGGGGGGTCCTGGGTGAAAATACCATCCCCCGTTTGCAACTTTTACAGAGGGGCCCTCTGTAGATGCGCGGGGGGGGTCGCCACGACGGATCGGCAAGAGCCCTTAGATTAGACGGCCCAAGCCCCACAAGACAGCCCAAGAACGCCTAAGGACGGCCAAAAGGGACCCTCAGACGGGTCGAAAGAGCCCCACAAGGACTCTCAAGAAGGCCCAGAGAGGCCATATTCATTGATTTTCGGAAAGGTTTTGTCCCCGCCCTCTCCCTCCCATTTCCGTCGAGAGCCGAGGCCTCCAGAATTGGTTGCTCCTACTCGCTTCCTATCGCTGCTCCCCCACTCCTCCTCCTCCTCTTCCTCCTCCTCCTCCGCATTCCTCTCGCTGCTCCCCCACTCCTCCTCCTCCTCCTCCTCCTCCTCCTCCTCCTCCTCCTCCTCCTCCTCATCCTTCCCCCTCTTCCTCCTCCCTCCTCCGCCTCCTCCACCTCCTGCTGCTGGTCCTCCTCCTCCTCCTCCTCCTCCTCCTCCGCCTCCTACCCCACCCACGCTCGTTTTCATCTTTGTTGTCTTTCGGGGATCTTCTGGCCCAGGTCAATCCAGACCCGGGTCAGCAAGAAACCAAAAACTGCAACGCAGATCTTCGCAAACCCGGGCCAGCCAATATGCGCGGCCACCTCGCGGCCATGAGCGGCTCGCTAACCCGGGTCAGCCAGAGGGGGTATTCGCAGGATCCTGCGGGATCTGGCGCTTTGGCTGACCCCCGTCTGCATTGACCCCCGTCTCCTAGGCCCCGAGTCTTGAAGGTCGGGGGCACCGGCCGTAAAGCCTTCGCAATAACGAGCATTGCAATAGAACAAATATGGTATACACACCACACCATCGTATACGGCAACATCGGTAAACAAGCACTACGCCGAGCACATGCAGCCACTCTCAAGCGCTGAAGCTGCACGAGACACTGCTGTCCTCGTAGAAATTCTTATCTATCGGAACCTGAAAGAGCCGCAAGGGTGGAGCGGGGGTGGCACGACATGCGGTACGACGCACGTAGAAAGAAGCCACTCCTGCCACAACGTATTCGCATGTGGGCATATGCCCCCTCATTCCCCATTGACACAAAAGAGAATGGAGGACAGAGAGGACGGGAAACGAACGGATGGGATGGGGACTGGAGAGAAGGAGAAAGAGGAGATGGGAGAGGAGAGTGGAACATCTCCTTCTCTCTCTCTCTCTCTCGCTCACCTTCGCTACCACCGCCCACTCATCCTTCTCCTCTCTTCCCTCCTCTTCTCGCTACCCCTCGCCATCCTCCTATTTCTTCTCCGTCCTCGACTGCTGGCAACCTAGCCATTCAACGACCTCCTTGCCCTCGATGTTGCAAACCCGCATAGCAATCGACGAGAGTGCCAACACAAGCCACTGCGTCAGCCAAGGGCGTCATTTGCGATGCGCAAAAGCCGAAACTGTTCGAAGACACCGAGCACATCCCCGCATAGCAGCACATCCTCGAGAGAAAGCAAAGCAACGCCGAGATGGAGGTACGAGAAAACTAAGCCAGCGTGGGCGCAGAGCCAGTGAAGCAAGCGCACGACCCTGCGGGCTGCTATAAGCGAGCCTGGCGTCGCAAGCAGCTGTTAGTTTGGTGCCGCTGGCCACGGTGTACAAGTATCCAACTATTTCTTGCATTAACAAGACCCGTGCTACGGAAATGTTGCCCGGCCACGATATTAGCAACAGTCAGTCAGAGTCCACACCCTCTGACACGTTCTGCATGTAACAAGTGCTCGCGGCCAAGAGGCAACGCGAATCCGATGCACCGCATGGGAAAGGCCAGTGACAATGCCGACATCAAAACGAACACTTCTTGATGTTGGACACTAATACAACTTCCGGCGACGCGACCATCGGAAATGAATCAACAACCAATGTTTCCTGGAGGCCGTGCGATGCAAGTCGGGCTCAGAAAGCGACCACGCATACATCCAGCTGAAGCCTCTTTCAAGTCAAGGGCTGTTGCGAACACCCATACGCTTTCCGACCACAACCTGGTAACAATGGGTGTGCAGTTCGACGCTCCACAACCTGCTGCTGGATGCTCCTGGTTGCGGGCAGCACGCTACGGCAAGCGCAAACCCGACCAAGACGAAGCACGAAACGACGCCAAAGACAACACAACCACGACTACGACGCAAACCGAGAGCAGACCAGCGACGCAGCACGAGTGATAACAACCGCACGACGCAGCAGCAGCATCAGCACGACGCAGCAACAGCAGCACGACGTAGCAGCATCAGCACGACGCAGCAGCATGACGCAGACCACACCAGCAGCACGACGCAGCAACGCAACCAGCCAGCACGCAACAAGTCGAAACCACATGTCGACGCAGCACGACCGCTGAAGGCCCACGCGGCCCACGACCTCCGAGCGACCCACGAACGAGCAACGACCAATGGGGACACCGTGGAGGGTTTGGCTGCACATTGGCGCGCCCTGCCCGCCTACGACATCCACGGGGGCACTATCGACGAATGGTGGACGGACTGGAGTGCGCGAGCAGAGGCAGTGCTACAATCCCAGGGGACGGCAGTCTTGACCCAAGGCACAGTCCCAAAATCCGACCTCTCTTTCGCAACGTGGCAAAGGAGAGAACAAAACGACGACGCGTGGACAAAGGACACGCGGCAACTACGCCTACTAGTCCAACGGCTCCAGACCCAGCCGGCACGGCGAGGGAGGCGAGCGGCCGGGGACCTGGCGAAGTGGGAGAGGAAACATCACAACCTATGAAACTCTGTGATGGGTGGCGACAAGCCGGACTCGGAGCCAGCAGCAACGGAGCAGGCGGAAAAGGCGCTCGCTACGGCCATCAGGGGGTGCAAGAACGAACGCGTCAAATGCTGGAGGAAACGTCTACAGCCCGACGGGCTTGGGAAGACCACGGCGGCCTGGATCCGCAACGCAGTCAGCACGTACCACAACGTAGCTGTGCAGGACGACACCAAGCACGACCACGACGAAAACGACACCACGCCCACCAACTACTTTGCACAAGACGCAGTGGCGCGCAACCGCGACTACTACGAGAAGCACTTCACTGCTTGTGGACAAGGCAACGACATGGACGGCTACTTCTACCACTACGACGACTACATCGAGGAGGCACGACAAGAAGTCCAACACGAGCAAGAGCAGCGCGACCACTGGGCACGACACGCAACGGCAACCCTTGGCAGCTTCGACCACTGGGCACCGCCCGCGGCGCCGCAGTTCCGCCGCATGTTACACGGGGGCACGGCAGGAAGACCAGACCAATGGGCTCCCTCGGAGCTTATGCGACTACGCCCGATCGCAACCGCGAGCGCTGTAGTGCGCGCCTCGCACAGGTGGAGGGCAGACCAAATGGCCACCTACCTCAGCCCCGCCTTCCTGCCCACGCAGGGAGGCGGACTCAAAGGGAGAACCCTCGAGTCCCTCATTGAGCCTTGCCTTTCGCCCATTGAGGAGACTATCGCAGCAAACCGCTACGGCGACAGAAACGGCGACCCCGGTGACCTCACGGGGGAAGAGTGGCGTTTGCTGCGAAAGAGACAAACCGAGCTTCGCGTCAAATCGTGGGACTATGCTTCTGCTTTCGACCGGGTTTCTCCGCTGATCGTGGGCGAGATTTGGGAGCGACTTGGGGTGCCGACCAAGATCGCCGACAGCATCGTGCAAATCTGGGCGCGTCAAGAGCGGTGGATTGAGATGGGGCAGCTTCTCTCACCGCGCACGATCAGCGCCCAGCACAGTCTACCTCAGGGGGACCCTGCCGCAATGCTCGGGATGGCCACCATGCTCATGGGGCTTCTACGACGCCAAGCTGCATTGCACCCACGAGCAACACTCTGCACCTTTGCGGACGACCGCACGGCGGCCACGACCACCGAGGGCGAACCACGGAGCATCGAGGAGGAATGGGACATGCTGGAGTCCGTCACCGCGCTGCGCACCAACACCAGCAAAACCAGGCTTTCACAATCCTTCCGCACCAGTGCGGCAACCGCCACTTGCAGGGCAAAAGGATGAAATTCCTTGGTGTCGACTTCGCCATGCAGAGGGCCACGCTCACAAGACGGGAGCGAGGCAAAATCGAGGAGGCGCTTGCGCGCATGAGACGGATTGCGCGTCTACCCCTGAGGCGCACGACTGCGGTGGCCACCTACACGAGCTACGGCTGATACTCCGATCCCATGAATGGGCCATCCTCCAAGGATGGAACCGACGGGAGAGCCACATGGCAACTGGAGTGCCCTTCCCGGCTGCCGCCGTCCGCACGGCACAGGAGGCGCGGAAAAACAACCCGACCCTCGCCGCCCACATCGCCGCAGTGCTGTGCGGCTGTGTGGTATCCGACGCACTGCTGGAGTCCAACCAGGGAGAGGAGGTCTCGACCGCGTGCGATCACTCCGGGGAGCAGCACGTTCCGACGCACGACCACATGCACTGGGTATGCACAGCCAACGCCGACCTGCGGCGAGGCATCACGATACCGACGGCGGACCTCACGCGACGGCTGGGCTGGCCGACGGAAGACGTCACTTGCAAAACAACCACTACATGGATCGCCATGGTGCTGGCTATGGCACGTATCCGGGAGCGTGCATTGCAGCACCGGCACCAACGACCACACGACGACCAGCGACACACCTACCAACGACCACGACCTACATTATATGTTTTCACAACAGACGCATCATATTGGCTCAATTGGTACTCGTGGGGTGTCTGGGCAACTCAGTTCTCCTTTGGGCTGCTATTTCTACTCCGCTTGTACTATTGGTATATCATGGTGGTAATAATGTTTGTATTGCATGTATGTGTGGTGGGCAGTGTCCTGGTGGTTATAGTTTGTATTACATGTATGTGTGTTGGGCAATTTGCGGTGTGGGTTTGTTGTGCAGTTCAGTGCAATGACGGGCCTGGTACACCATGTGACGTATCTGCATGTGATGCTATGCCCTGACGCTATGTGTGGGGCCGGGAGGGGCCGCTCCTGAACAACGGTCTCCGCAGCTCTTCGAGTTGCGTGGTGTCCTCACATGCCTACGGATTGGGGACACAGCTTGGTTCTACCCCCAAGCCTCTTTCAAGTGAACGCTGCCTACACCACAATCGCATTGGTCAGCAGCACAGTCTCCACTGCTGCGAGTCACACGGACGGACTACCAGAAGACATGTAGGGTAGAGGCAGGTAAAGCTGCCCTCACTGCACGACTCCCGCTCTCCTCATCCTCCTGCTCGTCCTCGTCCCACCCTCCTTGTCCCCGCCCCCCTTCCTCACCCTCCGCCTCGACCTGCTCCCAATTCTCCTCCTCCTCCTCCTCCTCCTCCTCCTCCTCCTCCGCCTCCTCGTCCTCCTCGTCCTCCTCGTGCTGCTCGCCCTCGCCCAGCCTCTTCCCCGACGAATCGTCTCGATTGATGCGTCACCCGTGCAGCCTCTGGGCCCCGGATCGGGGCTGGCCCCCGAGAGGCCGCCTGCCTCCCATCCCCCTCCCCCCTGGGTGAGCACCACCCATCCCTGGCCGGCCCCCTCCCCCTCGCCCTCCCCCCCTCCCCCGCCCCCCCCCCCTCCCCTCGCCAGACCCCCGGCCCCTTCGGGAGAGCCCGGAATCGAGCAGATGAGTCTGACCGGCGATCGAAATGAATCAGATCGGCGGAAAGCGGCAGGCAGGTAAGGCCTCCGTTGGGAAACTGGAATCCAAATCGGCATCCGAAATCGAACCGTACTCGAAATCGGTCGAAGTCGAGACGAATCGAGCCAGAAGATTCGAAAGAAGGGATGCCCCTCCCCTCGACAAATGGTCAACATGAGAACTGCGACCCGTTTCCCGTAGCACTGCGTCGCGAAGCGTCAAGGTGTAGATAATTGGGGGAACGAAACGCGCGCGCATACACATATACACACGCGCGCACACACGCGCGCGCACACACGCGCACACACACGCGCGTGC